GTATTGCATTGCATATGCATGAATGTTCACTCTAACATGGTTCGTTTTGAATGAGGGGTTATAAATACTTCCTCTATTCACTCAAGGGATCACTTTTGCTCATTCCAACAGCTGAGAAACACCCTTGAGAGTGCCAAGAAGAGCAAGGTCCTAGTGAGGTGATTGAGATTTGAGAATCCAAGAGAGACGCCTCATTAGTGAAAGCACGAGTAGCAAAGTGTGAATCCACCCTTCTCATTAGGCTTGTCGTGGTCAAGTGAGAGTTCGTGCTTGTTACTCTTGGTGATTACCATCACCTAGATAGCTTGATGGTGATTAGGAGTTTGGTGATCATCCGACGGAGCTTGTGGATGACTCAACTCAAGTCGTGAGCGGTTGTGGGTGATTCACTGCGACAGAGTGTCGAAGAATCAACCCGTAGAGAGCACTTGATCCTTACGCGGATTAAGGGAGGAGCTACACCCTTACGCGGGTGCTCCAACGAGGACTAGTGGGGAGTGGCGACTCTCCGATACCTCGGCAAAACATCGCCGCGTTCCTCCTTCTCTATTTACTTTAAGCATTTACTTTGAGCAATTCAATTCTTGTCTTTACATTCATAGTATTACCATGTTAGAGTAGGATTGGAACATAGGTTACTAAACTTTTATGCGGTAGAACAATAGGAACACTTTCTAGGCACAAGGGATGAAGTGGGCTAACCGTAGAGTTTAATAATTGCAAAGAATTTTAGAATTAGTCCAATTCACCCCCCCCCCTCTTGGGCATCTTGATCCTTTCAGTATGGGCTATTAGCTTGACCTAGGTGAGTCTAGTGGGTTAGGTGTGGTGCACACTTATCAAATCTAGCACTAGGTAGCTCAGGAGTAGCCCAAAGATTAATTGGAGCGAACTTGATTCACATATGATTTTGGGTTAGAAGTGAATGGAGGGTCAAATGTTGACCGGACGCTGAACCGGTTGAGACTGGACGCTGGCAGTAGAGTTCGATCAGTTCATTTGATCAAGGAGAAGTCTGGTTGCGACCGGACGCTGGGTGCCAGAGTCCGATCAACTCCAGTTTGGTTCCAGAGAGCGAGAATCATGATCGGACGCGTCCGGTTAGTGCTAACCGGACGCTAGTCAGGTTCCGGTTACTGACCGAACGTTGAACAGCAAAGTGACCGGACTCTGAGTGCCAGTGTCCGATCAACATCAGTAAGGTCCCAGAGAGCAGTTTTCATTACCGGACGCGTCTGGTCAGTGCTGACCGGACGCAAGTCAGAGTCCGGTCACAACTTAATGGCTCTGTGGCGGGGAGAAGTGACCGGAGCGTCCGGTCACCCCGTAGAATGCTAGCGTAACCTCCTAATGGTTCGTTTTGAACGAGGGGGTATAAATACTTTCTCTATTCATCCAAGGGAGGTCTCTTGCCCATTTGATCAGCTGAGAAACACCCTTAAGAGTGCTTTGGAGAGCAAGAGCCTAGTGAGGTGATTGAGATTTGAGAATCCAAGATTAAGGCCTCATTAGTTCAGGGAGAGTAGCAAGTGTGCATCCACCCTTCTCATTAGGCTTGTTGTGGTCAAGTGAGAGTTCATGCTTGTTACTCTTGGTGATCGCCATCACCTAGACGGCTTGGTGGTGATCGAGAGTTTGGTGATCATCCGGCGTAGCTTGTAGATGACCTAACTCAAGTTGTGAGCGGTTGTCGGTGATTCACCGCCATGGAGTGTCAAAGAATCAACCTGTAGAGAGTACTTGATCCTTACGTGGATCAAGGGGGAGCTACACCCTTGCGCGGGTGCTCCAACAAGGACTAGTGGGGAGTGTTGACTCTCCGATACCTCGACAAAACATCGTTACGTTCTTTCTCCTCTCTTTACTTTAAGCATTTACATTTGAGCAATTCATTTCTTGTCTTTACATTCTTAGAATTGACATGCTAGAGTAGGATTGGAACATAGTGTGCAAAAATTTTGTGTGGTAGAACACTAGGAACACATTCTAGGCACAAGGGGTGAAGTGGGTTAAGTATAGGATTTAACTATTGTAAAGAATTTTAGAATTAGCACAATTCACCCCCCTCTTGAGCATCTTGATCCTTTCATGCCCATCAATTTACGCTGTGGTGGTGAGATTGGTACGTATACAACGTAACCCAATCTTACGCAAATAGAAAATCTTTATGGATTCCCACGTACTAAATGCATATAGGAGATATGTAGTTAATCTCAAATTAGAAATGTGTAAATCTATCTGACCCCAATACGAAGTTGACAAATAGCAATTCACTAATAATGGTCCTACTATGATCTTGATGTCTTTCTCATAGATTCCATTTATCCTTTTGGATATGTAACTAAACTTTTGTTATACCAAACAATCGTTATTGTAAGCACAAAAATTATGTAGTGTTCAGGATAATGAGCTCACAACATAAGCCATTATTTACCAAATGCATGGCCGAGTGTGGATACTTCACACACTCTAGATCATCTTATAGATGTATGCTCACAACCATAAAATGACTGAACTGTCCATACAATCTTTTATATCGAAGCCACACATATTCTTTGGAATACGATCAAGGAATCAAAGACATTCAAACTGATTTTAAGATAAGAGTCTTAAAATATGTTTCCCTGTGGCACTTATTATATCCACACTTTGGGAAAATTATGACAAAAAAAATTGCCAAGATTGGAGTGAGGGATTTCATGCCTTCCATTTTGTGTCTGCGAACCACGATTGGAGTGAGGTGTTTTACGAACTAAGACTTGAAATAATGATGTACATAGTCCAGTTTGCTCTTTGCAAATATATTTTTCTTAACAAAAGGCATATGCCAGAAAGTGCATATTTTCATTGCAATAATTTCCAAATTTAACCCTTCTTTCTTAGTGGATGTGGTAAGACAGTGTGGTCGGCCATTTTCTCGTATTTTTTGTTTCTACGCTTCATTTTAGGCAGAATACACATCACCAAGTTCCTGTAAAAAAATGAATCACACATTATTCTAGCATTGTGGTGCCAAACAATATCAAGTAATTTCTCATAACCGAGACATGAATCATACATCTAATAATTTCGAGTAAGCGGATGATGAACCACATATGTACTCTATACCTGTAATCGATTACTAATGATATATATCGGAGCTAAATATGAAAACCAAAATACTCTGTCAAAATAGAAACACAAAAGGATAGAATAAAAAATAAGCTGATTCATAATGGAATAGTTAAATATCAGTCTACTAATCTATGGCTCATAGTTTGATCAATGCTAAGCTTTGTGGGAAACTGAGAAAATTAAGACACTCATCCAAAGCAGCAGTCCATGGCAGCTTTAGCCAAGGAATAGAAGTCAAGAGAGATCCACATGCTTTAGACATATATAAATTATTATATGACTCTTCTACAAATACAAATACTAGGCAAGTAAATTATAAGCGACATAATTCTCCAGAGCTAAGGCTGGAGTGAGAGGTGTTCCATGAAGACAGACTAGCAATAATGTACTGTTTGCTCAATAACTTGTAGTTGAATTTTAGTGCCTGCTTCTTATACAAATAAAGTTTGCTTAACAATTGGCATATATTAGACAGTACGCATTGGCATTGCAATAATCTCCAAACCTAACCCTTCCCGTGGATGTGATCAGACAGCGTGATAAACTATTTTTCTCATATTATTGTTTCTACTCTTCTTTTTTATCACTATTATACACATCTGCAGGTTCCTGGTCACTATGAAGCAGTCTGGAAAGAGCTTGATCAAGTGGAGCAGCTGTGAAGCACAGAAATGATTTGGATAGCTGTGAAGAGCTTGATCCGGTGTTGCAGCACTCTTAGGTATCGAGCTATATACCCCTGCTCACAACAATCTCGCTGGCTCAGAACCGCGCATAAAGCTCGATACCGAATAGTGCTGCAACACCGGCAGCTCAACTTTCTGATCATTTTTGTTCTTCCACAGCTGCTTCACTTGATCCCGCTCTTTCCAGAATGCTTCAGGAACTGCAAGGACCATGTGTCAGTTCAAAGATACAATTGAATAGTATTCAAACCTGCAGCTCGTGATATATAAACAGATAGATATGAGACAATCTAGTTACTTAAGTGCGATGGGATCAGTCTCTTCTCCTTACTGTTTCATTTTTGCAGGGAAGAAACTACTTAATTGTATAGGTTTAGAGCACAAAATATCTGTATTATAAGGGTTTATAAACCTCCACAGGTCTTTATTGGGCAATTCTTTACTCACATATCATAGTTCAATGAATGACTGAAAGGCAACACGAAGAAACAGAAACTGCTTTTGCTGTACAAATCGTAAGCAAAACTCAAATTATAATTAGAATCAGTAGAATAAAAAAGAAAGATAAAGACATGATGGATAGTCAGTCAATAAGTAAAAAGAGGATTGGCCAAAACAACCCTATGTTTGTGACTACAAGGCTTTATGATAAGCTGCTCATATATTTAACAACTCTCTTTTTACCCAAATCTAGTCAAGTTGTAAGCAAACTCAAATTATAATCAGAATCAGCAGAAATACATGATGGATGAGCAGTCAGTAAGTAAAAGGAGGATCGGCCAAAAACAACTCTATGTTTGTGACGATAAGGCTTTATGATAAACTGCTCACATATTTCACAAATAACAACTCTCTTTTTTCCCAGATTCTCAGTTATGGGATGTGTAAACTTTATAGGCTTCAACCACATCACTAAATAGACTGGAATTCATCGCTTACATCTTCAGAGAGAACAAAGGAAAAACTTCCTTTTACAAAGCTCAGTATCCTATACTGTCACATTTCCTAACATGTTGGTGTAAAGTAATTTCTCATAACTGAAAGATGGATCACAATTCACACATCTAATAATTTCCAGTAGGCAGATGATAAACCACATATGTACTCTATGCCAGTAATCAGAGCTAAATATAAAAACCAGAATACTCAAAAAAACAGTAAGATGCACGATCACAAATAACTTACTTGTTCATGATCTGATCACAGCAATGAGGCGTCCAGGTCTGGGAATAGGGCGAGCGCTATGTCCTTCTTTGCATCCTGGACCACATTCGCCGCCGCCTCCTCCGCAGCGTGCTCCTCCATGAGCCAGGTGACGGCAGCATCATGCGCCTGGTTGAGCTTGGCAACCTCAGCAGCGTGCTTCTCCTGGAGCCTAGCAGTTTCGGCCGTGCGCGCTGCCTCACCTTCTCGGCATGTGCGGTGCTTGCCATGTGATGCTCCTCCTGGAGCTTGGCGACCTCAGAGGCGTGCTCCTGATTGAGCTTGGAGATCTCAGAGGCGTGCTTATCCTTGAGCTGTGCATTCTCAGCTCTGGCCGCAACCATGTAGTCCATGAACTTGGCAATCGCGGCGTTGGCCTGTTGTTCTCGGTCCGCGGCCTGTTGCAGCTGACCCTGAAGGTGGGCGAGCTCCTGGGCTGCCTGCTGGATAGTATGTTGCAATCGGGCCTTTTCAGCTTCAGTTGCCACCATAGCATCGTACATGTAGAGGGCGTCACTTGCCCAAAGCCCTCGTGGCATGGAGATCTCGCTGCTGCTGCTGCCCCAGGCTCCATCAAACGATGTCTCACATGGTGTCATTCCCATTCCCTGCGGCGGCGGCACTGCCGGAATGGCAAAGCTTTGAGGCATCGGAGGAGTCACGGTCACGGACGCTGGGCCCGGGCCCGGACACCTTCACTTCCGCCGCGTCGAGTCGTCACCCTCGTCGGCGGCGTTGGGTGCTCTTGCCCCCGCTTCCAACGTCACGTTCAGCTGGTGCAGCGAGGTGCGAGCGAGAGCTTGGGCGCTGGCCGCTGCGGATTCCGGTTTCACCGTGGGCGGCGCGGTCGGGGAGTGCAGCTGCAGCAGGTTGAGAGCGCCGACGGGCGGGTCATGGAGCCTCAAACAGTCCTGGAGATCGATGCAAGGCATCTTCTTTAGCTTTTCTATCGCCGCATCCGTGAGCTCCACTATGCCGACGTCCTCCCTCCTGGGCTTGCCCCACGCCACCGGGCACCTCCACGGCATCCCCTCCGGGGGCTGAAGGAAGAAGAACCTCGTTCTCCAGCCGTACTTGGTGAGCAGACTGCCGGAGAAGAGGCGGTGACGGGCCTGACGGCCGGCGCAGGGGTGGAAATGGTGCCACCCCAATGGCTTGTTCCCGTGGTTGTGCGCGCACAGAGAGAAGAAGTACGCGAAGGCCGAAACCAGCGGTTCCTCCACGCCGCCATCCTTGCAGCGCTGCACGAATGCCGCCATGTACCTCCATGCATTAGGGGCCAACTGGCTCGGCGCCAGGCCGTAGTGTCGGAGGAGCTTCTGGTAGAATGCCGGCATGGGGAAGCGCAGACCGGCCTCGAGGGCGTCAGAGTAGATGCACAGGGCATTCGAACCCTGGCCCTCGGTCGGCGTCTCGCACGCCGCGCTTTTGCCGGCGCACACCGGCTCCAACTCACTGCACTACCGGACACTGTGTATTTACCGAGTGCCCCGACAATTACCGAGTGTCAAAAGTCAGGGCACTCGAAAAAAAGTACTTACCGAGTGTCAACACTCGGAAAACATAAACACCCGGTAGTCAACCGTTTTACCGAGTGAGCACACTCGGTATATTCAGACACTCGGTAAAACTACAAGTTTACCGACGGGGTGCACTCGGTAAAAACGGTCACTCGGTATTAACGTGCCACGTCACCTAGGACAGCAACCGTGCCCAGACGGCGTCAAGGCATGACATGTTTACCGAGTGTTATGATCATACACTCGGCAAACATGAAAATTTTACTGAGTGTTGGGCCAATACACTCGATAAACACTATCTTTTACCGAGTGTATTGGCCCAACACTCGGTAAAATTCAACCAAATTTCTTGTTTTTCCCTTCATTATTTTTCCTCTATCCACATATGATATTTAGTACTCCATTCCAAAATATGGTGTTTATTTCGATTTATTTACTATATTTCACAAAATTTTCATTCTTTATGAAAATTAGGAACATATCGTGTGAATTTAATTGTAATAATTAAAATCGAACTCGATAAATCACAAGATTGGAAGAATTAACATTGAAGCATACATCTATGTTATAGAAAAAATTTCATAACGTTTTGGAAGTATTTTTTACATTAAATCATTTGCCGAACCGGTACATCTCCCAAAGAGACGCTAAACATTCACAATGACGAGTAGGATTTCTATTAAGAGTGAAATTCAACATTATGATTTAAACTTGGAATTTTTTAGATAGTAAATAGATGACATGAAATAGTTCATGTGAAAGTTTGGTAAATTTTAGGATTAAATTGGCATTTTTTCTTTTTTGTTTTGCATGAAATAATGGATATTTTTACCGAGTGTGACCTCAAACACTCGGTAAAAGGTTAGCCACGGCCCACCTGTCACGCCACAGTGGGCTGCCATGCTATGTTTACCGAGTGCCGTAGATCTGGACACACTCGGTAAACATGTACTAAACCCACATGTCATTGGGTCATGGTGCTTGAGTTTACCGAGTGTCGTACATCTAGGCACTTTCGTAAATGTAAGCATTCAACAAGCCGTTTCTCCCTCAAATCGTTCACAGACACACACACACCGCACACGCCTCCCCACCGCCGCGGCCGCCTCCTCCCCTCCACCACCGCCGCCACCGAGCGGTCCCCACACCACCGCCCGCCACCGGAGAGAGAGGAGAGAGAGAGACGGAGAGAGAGATAGCAGGCACACCGGCGCACGGACGACGACGATCCCCTCCGCCGCGCCGCCCGTGCTCCCTCCTCCTTCGCTCCCGTTCCCGCAGGTGGGGTGGGGTGGGCCCAGCAGCAGCGCGGCGGCGAGCGAGCACTCTCCCTCCCCTTCAGTCGTGCTCCCGCCGCACCGGTGGCGACAAGGGACCCCGCCTACTCCCGTCGGCGCCAGTACCTGCCTGTTGCCCACCTCTCCCCTCCTCCGTCTGGTGGCGCCGTGATGCGATGGAATGGAAATGGATGGATCCGTGCGGGGGACGGCCCCGTTACTGCCCGCAGACGCGCATTGCCGCTTACTGCTGCTCGGACTGAGCGCTTCGGCGTCCACGGACCTTTGGGGATTGCTTGCGTGCTCGTACTTTCAGCACACCAAACTAACATTTCTATCTTCCCTATGCTTCGTCTTGGGCCTAGTCTTTCAAACCATAACCTAGTGAATTATGGTATCCCTTTTCAACTGGAGTTTTTAGTATGAAATAGAAGGGATGGGAGAAAAGTTTACTTGCATTGCCATGTAATAAAGTAATGTTAGATAAGGCTCAGTGCCAGGTGAATGAGGACGCAAATTGATGGAAGAATGAAATGAGGGCACCATTTTTTTTTTTCTTAACGACAATGGGTGACAATTAGGTGGTCCCCAATAATATTCTAATTTTTCATCTGATAACAAGATATGTTATGCCCTGAAGATATTAACTTGCTTATGGAGTTGATTGTTATTTATCTGTAAGAGCCTAAGCTCAATTAACCCGCGTAGTAGCAAAGATAAAACAGCCTGTGCCTAAAACGGCGTGGGTGTTCGTGTTCCAGCTGCATGCCTGACTTCCCGTGCACCTGGAGATTGGCGACTTGACTACTGCAAATGGGAGCTTGTTTAATCCCATCCACAGATTGCCCCGAACGTTTCTTGACACTGCCAGTTTGCAAGTTGCAGCACTTTTGACTGTGTGTGATTCTGATAAGGGCTTTAGTAGAAGTACGCTGTTAATGAAAAGCTAAATGTTGGTAGTAACTGACAGTGGCGCGTCACAGTACTTTGATAGGCTTCTTTTACTACCTGTTGGATGGATAAGCTCCTTCCGTAAGAAGATGAAGGCAGGAGAAGAATCTCCCATCGAGAAACTTCTCTTTGTCCTTTTTTTTCTCTCCAGCTTCTTGTCGTGTACCTAAGCGCTGAACTAAAGCTTGCAAGCACTACTAGTAGTATAGCAGTAGTACTTACGGCTTGTACAGAGCAGTCAAATTAAGGATACGATGAGCACAATTCGCAACAAGAAAAGGCTGCCCTTATCTACTGCCATTTTTATATTCTAACTTGAAACCTATATATAAGTTTGATAATATATATATATATATATATATATATATATATATATATATATATATATATATATATATATAGTTAGAGCTAAACAGCTTGTTCGTTTGAGGCCGAAACTTAAACGAAACACACACACACGCTACTGTACTGTGCCATCACGTTCCAGCGTGCACGGAGCTTTGTAAATAAATTTGTATACTACTGCTACTACTAAACCACCTAGCGAAAGTAGGTAGGTGCTGGTGTGGTGTGTCGATTAGCTACTAGTGTTGCTGCTTTATTATCTGCATTATTATCGCAATCGAGACGGGGCACTAGAGAAAGAGAAAAGATTTAACTGTTTGCCTGTCTTTGTTAGACTGTATTTTTCCTGCACTAATTGGAACATAAACCTTTAGGTGATGAACAAAAGCTTTACCTATAGAAAGGTGTTGTTAGGATACACATAGATATTCCACATATATATTACTAGTTTTTTAAGTTCCAGGGACAAAGCCCCAGTCCATTGCATTGCATCAGGACCAGTAAATTCAGCATTATTACAGCATAATCAAAGTGCATGCCCTCTGGCTGAACATCCAGTACAAAACGTTGAGCAATGCCATAGAGTTAAGCATGTGCGAGTTTCAGACTGGCTTTTGTTTTCCTCGCAAAGTTGACATCTGCACAATATTGCAGGAATCCACATCCTCTGTTGATGTTGTATTCTTATTTTTACTGGAGGAATTGATCTTATTTCCAGTTTTATTGCTCTAAACTGCAATATCGTCTATATGTTAGGATGGATGACCGTCGGTGGATGTACACGGGCTATCAGAAGAGGGGTCAATACACAAATGAATGGATTGAGAAGGCCAATGATTTCATGACGAAGGCATTTGCAAACGGACAAATGACATGCCCGGTGTCCCTCAGAGAAGTGTAAGAACAAGGCAATGAAAACATATGAGGAGATGACTAAAGATCTTGTCAACAATGGATTTGTAGAGAACTATACCCGTGGACCATGCATGGTGAACGCCATCGCGAGAGAGAGAGAGTCGTGAGACAACGGATCGAGGAGTTTGATTCTGAAGCGTGGGTGGCGAAATGTTAAATGACCATGACATGGCTTTCGATGAAGGAAGTGCAGAGCGAGAGCGAGCAAACGCAAAGGCGTTTTACGCCATGTTGGATGCGGACACAACAACCCCTTCACGGGCGCACCAATGTTTCTAAACCGGATGCCATTGCACGTCTAATGGTCGTGAAGTCCCGGTTTAGCCGGAGTAGAGAATCCTTCGATCAATCATTGATGATGGTTGGCACCCTACTTCCGGATGATCACGTTACGCCAAAGAACACGTATGAGTCAAATAAAATCCTTCGTGCACTCAAGATGTCGTGCGAAAGCGAGATACATGCTTGTCCGAACGGATGCATCTTATTCGGGGAGAACATCTTGGCGATAAATCTTGTCCAAGAAGTGTAAGGCATCTAGGTACATTGAGTTAGAATCGGTGATGGTCGGAAGACGCAAACAAAAGTCGGCGCAAAGATCCCGAGGTACCTTCCTTTCATACCGAGGATCCAACGGCTTTTCATGAGCGAGAATCCATAAAAGCAGATGACGTGGCACAAAAAATCGGGCGCCCGATACATCGACAAGATGATACATCCGTCCGATGGTGAATCATGGAAAAGCTTCGATCGGAAGCATACCGACAAAAGCTGATGAGGCTCGTAATGTACGCATTGCAATCGGCAACCGATGGGTTCAATCCTTATGGAATGGGTTCTTCACCATACACATGTTGGCCCGTATTCATCATCCCTCTCAACCTCCCACTGGCGCGCCGCCTTTCAACGGCAAAATATTTTCTTGTCACTTATAATTCCGGGACACACGGGGCTAATATGAGTGTGTACATGGAGCCTTTGATAGACGATTTGGTCCGTGCATGGGACGAAGGGGTAGTGACATACGACCGATTCACAAAGACAAACTTCAGAATGCATATTTGGTACCATTATTCCATGCATGACTTCACGGCTTATGGGTTATTTTGTGGCTAGTGTGTTCACACGAAGATGCCATGCCCGATATGCAAGTCACCGTGGAGTTCTTTCGGTTGGAGAAGGGGGCAAGTTTTCTTCGTTTTGACAAACATCGACAATTCCTCCCTCTTGACCACCCATTCGGGAGAGACAAGAAGAACTTTCGAAAAGGTGTCACAAAGTGGAAGACTCTGCACTTTGAAATGATGACAGTGCCTGTGTTCTTGAGAT